GGATTCCGAAAGCTAGCTATTCCTACTGACAAGCGTGAACCTCCTGTTACGAGTGCATAAGATCGAGAAGCAGAGATTCATGAACTGGTAGATAAGCTAGAGGCTCTTCAATTAGCTGCTGAAGTGTAATAAATGTGACTTTGATCTCGGCAGTGTACTTGCACTGTTGCTACCCGTGGTATGCAAAGCTGTGCTCTGTTTTTGTATTCGTTGTAATGAGGAGGACTAAGACAAAGGAACTTCGGTAAAGGACTGCTGCCAATACCGGATAATCTTCGATGAACTTATGGTAGTAGTTCAGATTTCCGAGAAACGATAGCACACCTTTGTGAGATTTAGGGAACGGTAGATCCATAACACCCTTTACAACTTTTGGGATCGCTCGGATACCTTCTGCACTAATTTCGTGTGACAGATAGAGGATCCACCGTTTTCCAAACTCGCTCTTTGGTAAACTCACTGATATATTCCAGTAACGTAAGCGATAGGGCAAGGTGTCCAGATCCTCACAAAGCTCATCCCATCTTTTCACACCATAAGCAATGCCAATGTAAGAGCTGCGGCCTAGCACTGGCCCAATATGTGATGGCTTGGGAACGTTCCTTTGGAATCTGTGAGTCCCGCACTTCGTTTTTTGGACCGCCCCTTTCAGATTCTTGATTATCCGTGGGATCCAAACCTAGAAATTCCTAGCCATCTTGATCGACTTCTGTTTTTTCTTCCAGAGGCAGTCTCACAAATCCCCACAGGAAATTATTGTCATCTGACTGGTATATCAGTGGTGCATTCTTGAACCGGAATGGCATGCGAGCCCACTGGAAATGTCCAAATCGACAGACAAACGCCGATATCAGCTTTGTCCTTTTGGACATCTTGACCACCCAAAACCCATTCGCCATGTCCAAACTCATGAAACATCCCCAAACCAACCAGTAGATCATCTATCAACGGTAGATGATAATTGGACAACTTGACAATTCGGTAGTCGACACTCATTCGGATATTCACACCATTTTTCTTGAGGACAATCACGATGGGCGATGCCCATGGTGATTCTGAATGCTCGATGAGTCGGGTCTCCAAACGTTTCTTCAGCTATTCATACACTTTGATCGATAAGCGTGGTGCCACAGATCGAGGACGTTGAGCGACGGGGTTCGCCTCTCCAACATCCAAATCACAGATCACGCCTCGCACCGGTGCAGGAACCGCTTTCCCATCTCCCATAAAGATGGCTCGATGGTCTTTTAGGTTCGCTCGCAATTTTCGGCCGTCTTCTGGAGTACTCGTCCCAGCTTCTGTGACGATGCAACCTGAAATTCAGGTGGCCTCCGCAGCCGCCCTGGTCGGAGAGCTGGAACTTGAAATAAGGAACGTGATGACATTCTCAGTTGGGTGGTTAACAGAGAATGCTCCGTGAACGTAAATCCCAGTTTCTGGTCACCCGAGCCGAGTGACCAGACACCGTTGTTCCAGGAAGGCGCAGCATAGAGGAACCCGAAAAGATGACCGATACTTTCGGGTGGATCAGTAGAGATTGAGGAACTTACGTTTGAAGCAATATGGCGCCCCGGGGTCCCTGGCCGCTGGATATCCTGAATTGCGGGAGTGTGTCCAGAATGGAGATATCACGTACAACCCGAATGAAATACAGCCCGAATGTCACGCCGGACGATTCAACTGATGACGTGGTGGTCCAAGGTACAAGACGCGACATACGCCATTGCAGGCAAAGATCGAGTTGCACCGACGTCAGACTACCTGAAAACCAACCATACTAAAGAAGAGATGAGACCCGTGGGAAGAGTCGGCGGATACTGCCAAATCAAGGTGGGCCATGTGTCAACATGCGATGTGTGTGCCCAAGCTGGTCGATGATGTGACAACCCAAGCATACACAGACCAAGTCATCCAGGTGGTGTGTACTCACGAGGCAACGGAGACCGACGAATTCGAACCCCCAGAGATCAAGACACTACAAGAATCTGAAGATCATGAAGAATAGGCCTATTGATAGTTAAAGTTTAATGATAGTTGGTTTTGTTATCTAGTGCGCCAGTGGTTCGCAGAAACCGTGTTACTAGGGGCACCTCGTCGGAGAAGACCTGTGGGAGACAACCTAAGGGGTCAAGGACTCAAGGACCAACCACACCAAGGACTGGCTACGGCCACGCGGGACGCGTGAAGGCTCTCAACCTCGTTCAAGCTAAATTAACTCGGGGACCGGTGTGCTTGAACACTTGGGCTGATCCAGTTATTTCATTTGCCAAGTTGCCTCTGGACACCCTCAAGTGTCCAGTTGCATTTCATATTACCCTGCGAATAAGGAGGATTATAGCGATCTCCCCCTGGATCTATATTGCTGATTGCTGTGTGAACGCAAGGTACTTATATTAATTATCCTGTATTAGTATAGGAGTGGTGCGCGAAGGGCTTTC